GTCTTTATTTGGGAGAAAGACTGGGCTTTCTACTCCCGTAAAGAATTACCATCTGAGAAACCCACCGGGGCAAGTCTCCCCTGTCCTCCCTGGTTGCTGACTATGAGTCAGCATCAACCGCATGGTAGCGGGTTTCCTTCTGTTGTTTTTATTAGCACCTTTATTTAGCTTGGTCAGGTTGGGTTGACTTTATATTTGGACTTGTCTTTCCCATGACTTAAAGTAACAAGTACTTGCTAGAAAGTAATTCTCCCTCGCTCTCATCTCTGGTAACCATCAAAAACCTTTGTTTTCTGTGTGCATATCTGTTCTTTATAATAGTGGGACTATACAATGTTTGCTTTCCTGCGAGGAACTTACGTCACGCAGCATGCGGTCCTCTAGCTCCCTCCAGGTTAACAGTGGTTCTGTGGACTTCTCATTCTTCTTTACAGTTGTACTGTGTTCCATCGTGTGGAGGCACCACTGTTTGTTCAGCCATTTACCTAGTAACGGGCATTTGGCTGTTCCCAGCCTTTTACTATTGTGAAAGATGCTGCAGTTGACATAGGTGTGCATACGAGTATATATGTTTGTATCATTGCTCTTATATCTCTAGGCTACTACCTAGAAATGGGATTGCTGGATTTATAAGGTAATTTTATTTCCAGCTTTTTGAGAAGGCACCATACTGCCTTCCAAGTAGTTCAACAATTTTACACTCCCACCAGCACTGTGAAAGACTCCCCTCCATCCCTCACAACCTGACCAGCATTATCTGTTATCTTGACCATTGCCACTTTTTGCATTGGTGAGATAGTATCTCATTAGAGTTCTAATTTGCTTCTCTCAAGAGCCCTGATGGGATTGTTGGTGAAAGTTGGACTTTTGACTGCAAAGTCGGTGGTTCAATACCACCAGCTGCTTTGTGGAAGAAAGATGAGGCTGTCTGTAAAGATTTACAACCTCAGACAGTCTATGTAGGGTTACTTTGAATTGGGTTGTACTGGATCTCAATGGGAATGGGAGCGTGAATAATTTTCATGTTCTTAGGGAAGTTTTATGCCAATCAGTCTTCCACAATTCTGTATGTGTTCCCTCCTCTCTTTCTCCTTTGGTTGAGGAATTCCAAGGACACTTAAACGCTTCCTCTTGAGAGTGTCTCACGTAACTCTTAGGCTTTCTTCATGTTTCCTTATTCCTTTTCCTAATTGTTCCTCAAACAAATTACTATCAAGAAATTACAAGACAGCAATTATATTTGTGCTGTATTCACTGATTGTTTCGTGGAGTCAATTATACTTTTATGTCCTTCTACTGGATTACTTCTTTCTGATATTTTATTGTTAATCGCATGAATTTCTAGGTCTTGTTTTTAATGGCTTATATTGTCGATTTACACTTGTGTTGTTCTCCTGCATTCTTCTAGGGTTGGGCTCGGTTTTACCTGGTCTCTCTGAGTATTGTTGTCAGGGAGACCAGTCCCTGGAGAAGAACATCATGGTCAGTAAAGTGGAGGGCAGCAAAAAAGAGGACGGTCCTCCGTGAGATGAGTTGAAGCAGTGACTGCAACGATGGGCTCAAGCATGGGGCACTTGTGGGGATGACACAGGACCGGGCCGTGTTTCGCTCTGCGCACAAGGTCACTGTGGGTTGGACTCATGGCACCTAACAAGAAGCAACACTCCACTACTACCATTCCATGGGAGACTTTCTGACCCTTTATTGTGCTCACTTGTTTGAGCCATCGTATCCTATTTCTTCAACTCATTTATTAACGTCTGGAGCCTCTGAGGCATTGAGTTTGGTGCCCGCAGTTGTGTGCTCTCTGAATGTCCGGGCAAGCCTTCTCCATATCTGCTGTGAGGGAGTGCTACCCATCTGGACTAGGTACGCCCTCTGTGGGTGACTTGTCTGTGGGTGGT